GCCAGTTAGACACGTGCGCACCATTCAGCCACCTGGCCGGTACAGTTTGGCTCTTACTTCACTTATCGGCCCTCCAGCTCTTTACCGATCCAGCACAATGTGAAACCCGGGGCCAAGTCCCACTTCCGACTTGATTTCTGACTGAGATGATGGAGATCTATGGACAGAAGATCTCTATGGACAGATATCACTCATCAATCTGGACGAGTGGAACTCGGCCCCCGGGAAACACCTTTGGTAAATGATTTTGGGACTCGCTCCACTACTCTCGAGATGCACAACAGACAAAAGATATGGAAATGTACCTTTCCAGGTTTTAGCGGAGGATTGGGACTCATTTTACACATTTCGAGAGTAATTGAGCGAGGTCCTATCACTCTAAATATGTTCATCAATCATTCCTCTTCATTTCGAGAAGTACTATCCCGGCCTCTTCTTTGATGTGCGTCATCAAATGAGCAGTGTTTTTGTGAAAATAAACAAATAAAAAATTAATATTTTTCCAGACGCTTCATGCAGCGAATTACCGGACGTCCACCATAGATGGCACAGGGGCCATGCTAACCTCCACTGTATCGTTCCGATTGTAACGGACGTCCCGCAGGACATCTAAACTTTCGAATTTCCGAGATTAGTCCTTCGGGACATCCGTTAAAATTGGAACGATGGCTGGCGGGAGACAACAAAGCTATGCTCGCAGGGGTCCCCTGTATAAACCTTAGGAGTAGTGATAGGTAGGTAGTAAACGTTAATTGAAAGAATTTGAAAGATGATGAAAGATTTGAGAGAACCGTAGTTGAAAAAAAAAAGAAACAAAAAGGAACGATACAGAGAAGATTATCATGGCTCTTGCACACGGATGACACGCATAAATCGGGCAATGGTCCAAAATCTTTGAAAAAAGAAAATCGAGATTAGTTCGAGAGTTGTCAGCCTCTCGAGAAAGGCGGAAAACGTTGTTCCTTTCCGAGAGCTAAGTTCGAGAGTAGCGATGCCGGACATCCGTCAAAACTAGAACGATACAGAGACTGAGGGCCTCGCCACACCAATGTCGAAAACTGCATTTTCGACATTTTCTCCTCGCCACACAGCATGTCGAAATCCGAGATGCGAAAAGAATTCAGGAGCTGTCAGGGAAAGGGTTTGGACAGCTCCTCTCGAGCAGAGCTCGTTTCCACTTCAGGTCTGCAACTTGGACATTTTCAACAGTCCTCGGATGGGATGTCGAGTTCTTGCCCGAATCTCGAAAAGGAGAACGGACCAACGCTTGTCCTATCTTCACCCCAGTTTGTCTCTTTTGTGCATAGGACTCGCGCGTTCTTCACTTCGACATGCAGTGTGGCGAAAGAGGGTTTTTCTGTTGAAAGAGGGAATGTCGAGAATTTCCTGACATATGTCGATTGTAGTGATGTTTCGACATTGGTGTGGCGAGGCAACCAGACGACCAGAGTAAAATCATTCTGGATTAGCTGAGGCAAAACATAGAGAAAAGAGAGCTGCCGCATTGAAGCTGCGTCTCCTCCAAACGAAGAGAAAAACGTAGGAGACTCAGGAATGCCGTCCGTACGCACACGCGCATGCACCCTTCCTTCCCTATCCTACAAGATACACTGCTCAAGGACCTCGCTGCACTACAAAACATTTCTAACACCTCGCTGCACTACAAAACATTTCGCATGTATTAGACTGGATTTCGACAGAAAAAACATTCGCTGAAATGCATTGGGACCATTACCTGCTCCAGATACGTGTTGAATGATATGCAATGGAGAGAGGCCCGAAAACGTCTTCAAATTTTGGAAAGATACAGAGAAAGAGAAGTTTAGCATGGCCCCTGCGCAAGGGTGCCACACAAATCGAGAAATGGTCCAAAAAGGAAGAAAGGAGGCAGACTTTCAAATGCGGCCAAATGCAACAGCACAAGCTTTACGATAAAATAAAAAAAGGATAATATGCAAACTACGGTAAGGGCTCCGGACCAAACAAAAAGGGAAAAAGAAAAAAAAAACTACGGTGAGAGCGACATTGTCCAACACGAAAAGCACAAACCGCAGAAATACATAAGACTTCAATAAGTTAGTCATGACTGACACGACAGATAGGACCATACGAGCCCTTCAGTTATTGATGTTTTATTGTGACCCGGCAAGAGAATGAAAAGCATTCCAAAAGAAGGAATCCGTTAGATAATCTAGCACCGAGGGCGTTGAAAGAGTGAGCAGATATACTATTCGTGGCACAACGAGTCATCGCAGAACTGAACGATGAATTACTCAAACTAGCACATGCAATCAGACGGAGCAAACTTAGTTTCTTCTTCACGACCATCCACCTTCCACGTCACCTCGCCATCCCCTGGAATGTCGACCCTAATGACCGCTCGCTCACAATAGCGTGCACACAAGCCGACGAGAACCGACATCATTACAATGCACGGGAATCGCCTCCCTCCACAGCGGCCAAATCCGTTCATGACAAAGAACAGAACATTCTCCTCCTGGCCTACGACGTACGTACGAGGACAAAACGAACACAAACACAAAAAAGCAAAAGCCGTCGACGGATGTAAAATGCCAGGAGAGGCACAGACACAAAGGGAGGCGAGCGACGAGAGAGCCAGGGAGATAGAAGAGGGAGGGACGAGGGAGAGGAGGGAGAGAGTGAGGCAGAGCAGTTAAAAACAACAGGCGAGCATTTGTCGGACAAAACAAAGCTTCAGTAACTTCGTGCTCGATCCAGAGATTTGTACACTGTAGTCGTTCAGAGAACTGTACACTGCAGTCACTCATACTACACTGGCTGGAAACATTCAAAGAGGGAGCTCGGGGAAAACGAGCGAAATAGAGGGAGCGAGAAAAGCCAACAACACCTGCGCTCAGCCACAACCCTCGGGTCCACCCTTTCAAAACATCGCGCTTATGAGTCTGTTCCTCTCAAGAACCTAGATCGTACAGCTCCTCTCTCTCTCTCCACAACCCTCGGGTCCACCCTTTCAAAACATCGCGCTTATGAGTCTGTTCCTCTCAAGAACCTAGATCGTACAGCTCCTCTCTATCTCTCTCTGTCTCTCTCTCTCTCTCTCTCTCTCTCTCTCTCCCCCCCCCCCCTCAATAGCTCTGCCACCTTATCAAACACAGCACTGACTAGGGCGCACTTTTCGCCGCTTGATACTTGAGAATAGCGAAACATATCGTGACCTTTGATAGACTGAGGAAGAGTGACAAGAGCATCGACTCCCTCTCTCGCGCTAGCGCCCTTCCACTACATCATAAAGGTCACCAGGCCCGCTTCCGTCACCTGAGTCCTCTTCTTTATCCATCCATCTGCACCGAACACACCAACATCTACGCAAGACATGATATTACCATACGTACGTACGTATAAAACCGCAGATTTCTTCTCGGACAATCGTTTGAAAGGATTTCTCTCAGGCAATCAATAAATTAAGATTCGCGTTATAGATCGTGCCCTTGCAGTATACAAAAGATCCCTTCACGTGAGAGAGCTTGAAAACACACCTTATAGACTGTCTTCCCGCCCAGCCTTTACCCATAGTCAAGAAAAATTTGATCGGCGAAAACTATCACGCCGCCATATCCGACACAAGGAAGATGCCCTTCCTCCGTCTTCGTGTTCGAAGGCCTCCTTTCAACCAGAAACCTCGGCCACTACAGCTCACGCTTGCAGACAAAGCATCTACAAAATTAATGGGATTTTCACAGAGCCTAGAGCAGACAAGCTGAACACCGGAGGAGCAGTATCCAACAGCTTTGCAGGCGACCGGGACTCCAAACAACTGCGAACCTACGAAGTAATCAAACGTTGCAATTAGGACCCGGTTGCCGACAAGTAACTGCACCAAAACTGCCATCAGCCGGCCGCCAATCACCACCAAGACAAGACTCAGTCGTCGTCAATTAGCGTATACTCCAGTAAGATCAACAGGGTGGACCCGTCATAACGATGGAGTTTTTGTCAGCATCTATCACGTCACGAGGACGTTTTAAGTGTATTCTCGTCCTGGACGGTCACTCGTCCTGGAGGGTCGAGAGTGAGGACGAGCACTACTCACCGATCAACTACAAGAGCCAGCCGAGGGAAATGCGACAAGGGGCAAGAGGAACGAATATCCTGGTAATATGCAATCAGGAGCACGCGCAGTAAAAGATAAGTCTCCAGTCGGATCCTTCTAGACAGACGCCGCAAGTGAATCCATTTGCTTCCCATCTGTCTGTCACCAGGGGCTTCAGGCAATCGATTACCCCAACAGTTAAAAGGACCCCGACTTCGGGATGGGATACTAAGCAAAAAAGGAACACGGAGAGAGACCGAACAGCGTCACACGGATGGCGAGGAAAACGCAGAGTTACACAAATAAACATGCCGGCAACATCGACTTCCTTCTGCGACTATCGAAAGATAAACGCCCTTCAGAGAAAGAGAAACGGCGGCGGGCAAACCGATCGAACGTTAGTATCTTTACTCCTCTCTCTCTCTCTCTCTCTCTCTCTCTCTCTCTCTTGCCCTTCCCCCAACCGCTGTCCCCTCCCGGCTCTCTTTCCCCGTCGCTTTGTGCCTTGCTCCCTAAGTATCCCCCCCTCTCCCTCTTTCTGTCTCCCTTCCCCCAAACCCGCTGTTCCCTCCCGGCTCTCTTTCCCCCTCGCTTTATGCCTTGCTCCCTGTGCATCCCCCCTTCCCCTCACACTCTCTTGCTTTTGCCGTTCCCCCACCCGCTGTCCCCTCCTGGCTCTTTCCTCCCCGCTCTGAGCCTTGCTCCGTGATCTGCCCCCCCCCTCCTCTCTCTCTCTCACACACACGCACACACGCACACACGCACACACTCGCATTACTGTGGCAACTGACGGCTCGCATCTGGATCTATCAAGGGAATCCTGAACAAAAAACGCCGTCATACCCATAGGGACACGCGCGGAAAAGCAGGGGGAACCAGGAAGATAACTTACACGACCTTTACCGGAATGCTTATCCAAAGAAGTTGTAACAGAAGAACAGCTGAAGATTTTGAAACGTGAGCACGATGAGGGAAGAAGGCGGCGACGAGGTTAATCGTGTATGGAATGGCGGACAGAAAATTACTCGAGAAAAGACAAAAGAACTAGACGAGAGACAAACACACCTCGACAGAACTGACACGACAAAAGATGTTCAGCCACTACGACAAACCGAGACATCCGCCACTTGATGACGGCAAAAAGATTACGAATAGAAACAAAAATCCAAATAACTTCATCGACGTAACGCGCAGTCTCATGGATCCCACAATTTCTCAGTCCTTCATGATCGGACAGAGAAGAAAGGTACTAGACTGTCCCGTCGTCCTTCACCGAGCCCTCAGACGAAAATCGTAAGCCCTTCGACATGAACCACCCACCCACCCATCCTCAAAGATCTTCAATCCGGTCGTTTCATAATCACAAATGCAATTGGAAGAAGCGCGCAGCCCCGCTCCCCGCGCCCCCCCCCCGCCCAATTAATAGCCTTCATGATCGCACACAGCTTTGACGAATGATGTGCCCCCCAACGATAGCGAGACGGAAGGACCAAAAGGAGCAGTAAATCACATCGCCAACATCTCGGTGCTGCGTCACATTGCGAGATGAGTTGCCCCAAGAGGCGGCGAAAGATCTGACGGCATTCTCCAGCTGCTCCAGCCCGAAGAGAACAAAACAAGAAGAGGAACAAACTGCTTACGAAAGGGTACTCAGAAGAGGAAAGCTCGGTTTCCTCGCGCCATCATATTCCCCCCATGTAATATTTTCGCCTCCGTAGAATCTATCATGCAACACTGAAAACGGCCAGGCACCCCTTATTCCGACATCAATAAGGTCGATCTGCAGTAGCCTTTTTAGTATACTTGCATACCACCAGCATCTTTGAAGCCTGTCTTGCAATAGCACATCCCAATTTCGTGGTGTTTTTGTTCACCACTTGCTTGTAGTGATCACAAACAGATCCCGGCGGATTACAGGAGTTCGAATTGTAATCGTATTTCCCTTTTTCTAGAACCCAGTCGTTGACAGCGCTCCGCGGAGTCCACTGCGGCGGAGTAGCACTGTCGATGCCACAGAAGATATTCTCTCCGTAACTTTCACCACCCGCCGAGTTAATCAAGCAAGCTTGAGGAAAGTATAGGTTCACTGCTTTTCCCGCTTCCTCTTCATGCTTATCGTCCCACTGCAGGGGAGCGACCCCCACAGCGCCCCTCGCGTCGTTGTGCGCCTCCACGAAGTCGGATCTTTCCTGATCAGTCACTGGTGGGGACACATCCGACGTGGCCAGCGCCCTCTGAGCCTCTTCGATTGAGTCGGGGATTCCGGCATCAAGCTCCTGAATAATTACCCTCGTTCCATATACACCAGAGTTGGCAGAGGATGCCATCATCACCATACACACGAGCGCAAATACAAGGACAACGTGAGTTTCCATTCCGACCTGTCGACCGTCACGGTACTCCCTTTCTCTGCTCTACTCTGGTCAGCTTCGGTTTGCTCCGGCCTGCTCAGCCGTTCCTCTCGTCGTTGTGGTAGAGTCGTACTCCTACTCCCTCTCCGCCGCTATCTCGTCACACGCGCGCTGCGGATCTCCGACTTCTGTCTAACCCAAGGCCACCGTCTTTCCCTTTACTTGCCGGCTATGACCACGATACCGCCATATTCTACCTAACGATTAAAATGCTTCACAGTGCTAATCCGATCGCACGAGACTGCGATAGTATCCAACACTGCTAACAATCCACCCCGCGAACACTACTCCCCCCCCCCCCACCAGCTATTGCACCTGAACTTGCCCATACACCATAGAGAATTAGCACCCCACCTCTACCGTGAGTGGCTCCGCTAATTGCGAACACCTTTTCGCAACAACGAACTCTCCCCCACTGCCTCGGAGATACTGCCTCGTCCCCACTACCTAACGCTTTTCCGCTGCCTTCCGTATGTTCCGATACCGATGCCCAAGAGGACTTGTCGCGGGAACGATCCAGACAGCCTCAGGCAGCGCCTCCCGTTAGGCTTCGACCATCCACCCGCTAACTTCCCCTTCAAGCTATAGCCCCCACTCCAGACACCCCCCCTACCCCCACCCTTTTAGCTGGTAGCACATTTGCCTGCAGATATTTGCGACCGTTAGTGCCCTTCCATTTCCCCTCTAGCTATCCCTCAGCGAAATGTTCCACCACAAGAACACAGACGAGAAGTGAGACCGAACGGCACAGAAGAGAGCGACCGAATCAGATCAACCGACGGACCATAAGACCAGCCGACCGACCCACCGGCGACCCACCGGCGATGACGACTTGTGTGCGTGCGTTGACGACGTTCTGCTACCGGTAGCCGCTCCCCAACGACGGCCAAAAATGAGGCACGACACGACTGCGGAAGGTGCGCGGCGGCAGATGCTGGCCTGATGAGCGGCCGTCTACGTGTGCCCGTCCGCTTGCCCCCTTTTTTTTTCTTTTTTTTTTTAAACCACCAGTACCTCCGAGCCTGTTTTTGCCGACCCTGAATTTCACTGCGCTCCGAGTTTGCCGAGATTGCCTTCCCCGCGGCCTAGTAGAAAACAACGTTCACGCACGTCCACACCAGACCCTGCCTCAACACCTTGGCGTTGGCAAACAGTTTTTTTCTTTAGCCTCCTTCGCAATTCAGATGCAAGGGATGACCGGTCCTCCAACTGCGCTACCGCGCTGGTTCTACTCGCGATAGCTGTCTGTAGTCCATAAAACGCGGGGGACCGGCCCCCCAACAACTGTCACCCCCTTAAAACCCACTTGTGCACGGTCCCCGGCCGCTGAAAAATGTGCCACCTTGACACAGAGGCCGAAGCCTACCATAGTGCCGCCTTTGGGCTGCGAACTTCAGCTTTGAAAAAGAAAATGGCGCGATGGCCGCAGGCCTTCAGATCAGCTATTGGAGCAACTGGAGGTCCTAGCGGCTTACGGCAGTGTCGGCGCGAATACCCTTACAAGGGTATCCGCCCTAGGTTTTGAAAGTAACAGAAAGGCTCGGTTAACCTGGATTTTGAGTGCCCGTGCTGGAAAGTGCGAGGGTCGCCCGCACGCGGGCAAAGGTCTGTCTTGTCTCAGTAGGGAGTACGTGGGCGCGCAATTTTAAGGCGCGCATGTGATTTCTCTGATTGAGTGGGTGGCCAGGGTAGCCGACCGACCCGGACCGGGTGACGAATTTGGTTAGGGGGTGAAAGCTCGTTTTGATTGGCACGTGCAGCCGGTGGTGGCGCGCAGGCCGGCGCGCGGGATGGTCACGCCGCAGGATGGTAGGCCGGCACGGGCACCTGGGGGCCGTGGGTGCAAATGTGGGCTGCAAGAATGGCCCGGGGCGGTATCCTGGCCCGGAAACGCTGCGCAGTACCACGTCATATCGGAAACCGCGCCTGCTGGTCACAGGCTTCGGCTTAGCCCTATTGGTTATAGCATCGGACTGGTATGCAGCGGACGTAGGGATCAAGGTCACCAGCAGGCAGTAAAGGAGCGGAGGAGCGCGGCGGAAAGGCTTGAGGGGTTGATGGGCCGGTAGGACTATCCCCCTCGCCTTTTGCAAATGGGGGCTATGGTTTCCACCCGACTATTGCACGTTTGTAGGTATATATCTATCTATGAATAACTTATTTATTTCGAATTTTTGAATTAGTTATTTCGAATTTTTGTTACTACTATTGTTTTCACGCCCGTATGTGGACGCGAAGTCGTCAGGGGGGGGGGATACACCCTTGGCCTAGTGAAGCGTAAGTCGGCGTCGGACCTAGATGACGCCACTCGGTGGGTAAAAGCCGAGCAGTCCAAATTGTCGGGGGCCGATTGCCTCCGCGGCCTTGGCGGTGTCCTTCGGGACATTTGGAGAATCTAAGGCGATATTGGAGAGACCCGCCCGACCACTGAGCGGGGTGACAGGAGAGGGGCAGGGGATGAACCCGGACGACGACAAGGGCTAGGTGCTTGCGGAGGGAGGCCGAGTGACCCTCGAAAGCATAGGGAGGGGAGGCGGCCACGGTCGGGGGTCCTCCGGGACATCCACTAAAATTGGGACGATACGGAGAAAAGATCTGCGTGACCCTGTTCGAGGTCAGCACGCATAAAACCTAGAGTGTGGGACGAATTCATGCATTAAGAAAAGGTGGCACTGTGGCTGCCCAAATTTTGAAAAGTCGAGGGCGACACCTCGGTCTGGGTCCCTCAGGACGTCTGGTAAAGTTGGACCAACACAGGGGAGACTGTGGGTGAGACCGATGACTGAACTCGGACGCGAGGGCGAACCGGATACGTGCCGAAAAAGGAGAGGGGGGGGCGCTCCTGCCTGAATCGGTCGCGAAAGGGGGGTCGAATACTTGCGGCGGGGGAAATAGGTGGGATGAATCGAAGAGCTGGCAAGGTGCTGAGGTAGATTTTACAGCGCCGGTGAGATCTGGAGCAATATAGGGGAGATCCGTATAATCCCTATGCACGCTCGACACGTACAAGCCCCAGAGAGGGGGCCAGGTTCGTGCAGTAAGACAAGGGAGTGTTGCGGCCGCACGAATTCCGAGAGGTCGCGGGGTGCTGCTAGTGCCCGAGTCCCTCGGGAGATCTGCTAAAACTAGAACGATACGGGGGGAGGTTCGTGCGACCCCTGCACAAGGCCGACACATATAAGTCCAGAGCAGTTTTTCTTTGTCTGTTTTCTTTTCGTCCGACTTCTTTGTGGTCGGTCCGACCTTCTGTTTGACGGAGTCACGGTGCTCTGGTGGTTGTTGACGCCAACACAAGGAAGGCGGAGTGCATGCGGGTTAAGGGTGAAGTGGCCATGGCGGAGGGCGGGGCTCGTAGCTCACCCGTTCCGTGGTTGTTTTAGGCGCGGGAAAGGGCTACTCCGGCGTTCTGATGGTAGGCGGGTACGTTGGCGTGGTTGGTTTTGGTGGGAGACTAGCGATTCGAGGGCTAGAACGGAAACGAGGTGCGCGAAGCCGGTGGCGGTGGTGGGTATAGCGAGGCGAGAGGGGGAGGGTATCGCATACCTGGACCTAACTTGAAGGACCTACCTGCTGCACACGCACTGGCTACCCCGTAGAAGACAGTGGTAGTAGCTTGAGCAACCGTGCGGTTGCAAGGCCGTGCAGTATCTGTTGTAGATCACCATGGGCATCATGAGTATAGGCTGCCACAGCTGCTGCTACTGACTGTGCGCAGGTTGTTGCATGCTGCCACGGTTTGTTACGGGCTGCACGCGGGTTACTGCTGTGAGTTGCCATCAATTGTGTACGAGCCGCTGCTATTGCTGCGAGCCGGATGCGGGCTACAGCTATTACTATTGCCCATCGTTGTTACCAGCGGCAGTGCGGCCAAGATTAGGCTCGGAAGAGAGATTACTGTTGCTGGTTGGGACTTCGTTAGGGGGGGGGCTTCGTTTCAGCAGTTGGACCCAGACTTGATCAAACTGCGGTTGTACCGGCTGGCTGTGCGTAAGCACTGCACTGCGGCTGTACCAGCGGACTGTATTTGGATTGCTCCGGCCGACTGTGTGCTGGTGCTGCTTGTAGCTGCCTGTGAGCCATGACCGACGGGTGAAGGCCTCATGCTGCTGACACCGACTGTTTGACTACCGCTGACCATTGCAGCCTGTGGCGCTGTGGCGGACAGGCTTAGGGAGGTGATGAAGTTATGAAAAAAAGGGTGGGGGTTACCGCTGCGATTTGGGAGTTCGGTAGGAGATTTGAACTCGGCAGTCAGACTCCAAGTTGACTAAGCTGTTGTATTAGGCTGCCATTGCGGGGGCCTAAGGCGTTGAAGACAGGAAGACCCTCTCACGCGAGTCTGAGTGTACCGTTCTATCTGAGAGTCTTACCCCTTCTCACCCTGTCCTTCTTACTCTAAGTTTGGTCCTTTGGCTCTGAGAGGAAGGCAGCAGGCGGACGTGTGGCCCGTAACGCGCGCCAAGGCCTTTGTGGGAGGTTGCCCCACCGATTGCGGGAGCTCTGCCGGGACTTAGGCGGAGTCCTGGAGGCAGGGAACTGAGTGGTAATCCCTTGACTCCCTCTATAAACCCAACTATAACCCCTACCTGTACATCCCTCTACGTTTGACAGAGTGTATTGTGTGAATCCTATACTTGGTTTTGAGTTTGACTTCCAGGACATGAGTCAGATTGAAGTAAAAGAATATATGTGCAATTTCAAGTTCAGTTTGTTGACTGCCTGAAAGCAGATTGTAAATGAAGTGGGTTGCATATGGGGGAAGGTTGGGAGGAAGGCAGTATTGCGTGTAGTCTGATCGGGTCATTAAGGCTGGGAGGTCCCCATAAGTTTGGGGAAGCCCAGCGCTTTGCTTATTTTTGGTTTGTATGGAGCCTCAGGCCGCTCTATAAGTTTAGGTAGCCTGAAACGCTGGAGGCGGGGATGTCCCCATAAGTTTTGGGAGACCCAGTGCTGTGAATTGCATGGGGGGTCAGGACGCTCTATAAGTTTAGGTGACCTGACTATTCTGGCTTGCGAGGGTTGATTGTGGCTGACTTTCAGGGACCCAAGGCGCTCTATAAGTTTACGTACCTTGGGTTGCCTCGTTTTACTTGGGGTTTTCTCAGTTTCTTTAGTTCTGAACGAGGAGGTCTGAGCCGCTCTATAAGTTTAGGTGGTTCAACCCTTCTCCTATTTTGTTTTGAGGGGATAATCCTGGCAGGGGACAGACCGCTCTATAAGTTTAGGTAGTCTGGCCTACTGCCTCGCACAGACTGGATCAGAGAGAAACGAACCTAGCAGAGGATCAGACCGCTCTATAAGTTTAGGTAGTCTGACCCAACACCTCGTACATGTTGGAACCCAATGTATAAAATATGATTATACTATATTACTATGCTATTGAGAACAGGCTAGTCAGACCGCTCTATAAGTTTAGGTAGCCTGGCTATAGCTTATCATAATTGAAGAGAGTATAACTAAGAGGTATAACTGAAGGTAAACTTGGGCAGGCTGAGCAGTGTTCTAAGTTGAGCGGCTCAGCCTTGTATCCCCTTTGAAGACTAAGTTTAGAGAGGTATATATAACTTGGTTATTTAAACAGTTCNGCTGAGCAGTGTTCTAAGTTGAGCGGCTCAGCCTTGTATCCCCTTTGAAGACTAAGTTTAGAGAGGTATATATAACTTGGTTATTTAAACAGTTCGGGGTGACTGGAGTGGTCTAGTCATATGCCCTAAAAAAAGAGAAGTAGTTGTGCCCTTTGTTTGTGTATAYCTGGCCAAGTCAGAACGCTCTATAAGTTTAGGTATTCTGACTTTAGGCCTGGCTAAGTTCGGCTCGCTCTGTAAGTTTAGGTGGCCTCACCTATGCCTTATGTAAGTTGGGTATGAGGGGATAACTCACAGAGGAAGCATGAACKATTGTTTGCTARAGGAGCTTGGGGTTGGTGAGAGTACTTWCCTCTGTGKTTTGGCCTGCATGTGGCTGAGTGACATTACTACTTGGTCTGGGTTTCAGGTTGRCARGTAGTTGCTTTAGAGGCTCGCCMCGTGCTAGAGCAATAGGAGTTRGGTCAATTCCTGCATTTTYTGARTTGACTTKATTTTACTTAGATCGATTCTTGCATTTTYTKAGACTCGCTATCATACTTGGACTTGTATAAATTTTGGTAGGCTACTCTCTCTACGGGAAGCGCTGCCGAAATTTCTACARATTCAAGGAGTTAGATAAATTTTGACTTGTCAAAGTTCAGCTTGTCTTTTCGTTATATCTGACTTAGTAAAAATYTGGAAAGCCTCCCTTTCTAARGGGAGTGCTGCCCAAATTTTTGCTAMTTCAGRGAGTTAGACAAAGTWGGGCTWTGGGAMGWCAAAGTTAGTCTCAAGTTTCAAACTTAGCCTTGTGTAAATTTTGGGAGAGCAYTTTTCCAGGGGGAGTGCTGCCGAAATTTMTGCAGAAACTAARGAGTTAGCCAAATTTTGTCTAAGTTGAACTCAAGGTTGGGGGTTGAGTTCAAACTTGACTTGGTATAAATCTGGGAAATCCCCAATTCCAAAGGGGATGCTGCCCAAAYTTYTACTAATTCAGAGAGTTAGACAAAATTTGACTTTCAAGAGTTATAGATTACTCCTGCTTTTGATATTTGGGTTTGTATAAATWCTGAAAAGRCACTTTTCYTACGGGAWGCGCTGCYGAAATTTTYCTAAATTAAAGGAGTCAGATTATATTTTGACARRTRGCGATTCTGGCGATCYWCCCTGAATAGGGGAGATTCTGCCATTCGCCTACTTTTGCTTTGGGYACCGGCTTAGASGYAGACTTGGAYTTAGTTGGCGGGTAGCCTTGAGAGAGAGTGTGCTATGGAGGTTTATCCCCCCRTATGCTGATGATTTARCTTGGGCRTTTGACCTACCTTGTGTTACAGGTCCTTTCGGGTGTTTGATTCAAGATCAGGACTAGATTCAGATCCCTTGAGGGTCATTTTCTGTTATCACTGATARCAGGTCGGTTGCCGATTCATCGGTCTTCGACTCAATTCCAACTCACTCTCCATACTCAACCTAAAAGGCTTTAGCCCTGGTGGTTTTGCTGTTTGTTAAGGGTTCACCCAGACTTTTATTGAATGGCCATTTAACAAAGGTATTGAGTATTTAATTGAGGTTGGTTGATTCCGCGATTGGGGCTTGCATGGCTAAAGCGAAGGGGTATGAACATAGAGGATGGTTAGGGTTGACTCCGTGTAGTGCATGTTTTGTCGTTCGATTCTTGATGTGATTGCAGGTATGTCCTGTGGCTCGGATTTTGGATTTGGATTGCCTGCGATCCCATATATATATACGTGGTTGTGAGAAATCCCACTGTGCCTGTGAGAAGTGATCGTCGCAACTCTATCTCCCTTATGTGGGTATGTTTGGGTGTATCTAAGGTGGGTGCTCGCGAGGCCCAAAGGGCCCCGCGCCAAAAAAACCTACTCAAAGGTTAAGGTTGAAAAGCATGTGGGAGACCCATCCTTTTTCGTATTTGCTTCTTGGGGGTTTTTTAAGTCGGACGTTAGTCCTAGGCCAGGACTCAAAGTCCTTGTCCAGGGCACTCCAAGCCCCGGACTCTGCAGAAGAAAGGCTTCCCCTCGCGCAGGTCCTATTCATCCTGCCCGTCGAGACACCCAACCTCAGAGGCGGAGATGTCGCGAGGGCCGAACGGCGCATCCTCCAACCGTTCAATATCATGAGGGGTGGCCCCTCTCGATATATTCCTTCAGCCATTCAATATCGCTCAGGTCGGAGCCTCGCTTACCACGTACAATTGGCATTGGTGGTTGGTATAGGATTGACCCGCGGCTGCGCGGCTTTATGCTAGAATCCCTTGCACAACGCCGTTCTGCCCTGGTGCCTAAAGGTTATGGGATCAAAGAAATTCACACATGTGCGCGAATGCTTAAGGATTGTTACGGGTTGCGGGCGCCGCGCGAAGAGGGGAGGGCACCCCGAAGGTCATGACTTGCATAATTTAGCGGAGGAACCGTCGGCCTATTCCTTACTCTTTGCTTTTTAGAGATTTTTATGGTTGGACGTTGTAGTACGTGGCAACCGTCAAAGTCAAACCCCTTGACTTTCGCCCAGGTCCGGGGAGGATTTACCCCTAGGGCAGCGAGAGACGACTACCACCACAGGTACGGACCTGTGTACCACCCGCTCTACATAAGGTGCAAAAGAGAGTGTGTGGTCTTCAACCGCGCATGGCGGTTGTTTGGCGTTGAGAGATTAACCATCAAGGCGCGCGTCAGCCGACACTTGAGCGTCGATCACGACCCTCGAGATTAACGAGGGTCGCGCGAGTGTGGGTACCACATAGTACGCCATCGTTGCGACCGCTTGAGTACGCTTGCATTGAGAGTCGATATGAGTTAGCCGTGCGTCCGCGCGGTTTTATGCTAAGTCTCGCGCGCGACGCCTATTCCATTTCCGCATTGGAAGGTTATGGGCTGGCTACCGAGAGGCTAGGAGCGTTGTCGCGTTGTTTGTGTTGGGTCGTTTCGTGTGCGTACGTGTGTGTGCGGGTTTTGTTTTGTGTTCGTTAAAGTGGCGTGCGCGTGGTGTGTGGGATGCGTCCTAGTCGACCGACGAAGGGCTGCGCGTGGGACTTCAGCCCCCCAAGATGTCGGTTCGCGTGCGGGTCCGACAGGCGTATTACCGCTCGTACCCCCTATGCTACAACGAACGAGAAACGCCCTCGGCTGGTCCACCTCTGCGATTGCAACTGATTAACTTTCGTATTGTGGACTGGTAGCTCGGCGGGGATACGCCCACCGAAGGGAGGTGACAGCTCCCGTAAGGTGGAGGTAAGTTGTGCCTCGCTTAGGCCCTATCCTGTCATAGGGGCTCGCGAGAGGTATGGCTGGCGCACTCGGCCGGAGCAGCCTATGGAAGCTCCACTTATGTGTTCGTGATGAGGTTGGTCCAACTCCTGCGTGACGCGGCCGAGAGGGTCCCGCGCTGCCACGTGCGGTGCTGGAGCAATGCGCTTGACAGGTGGCGCCGTTGCCGGGGATAACGGAAGCCTACCGTTGTCCCTGGTGGAACGACATCCGGCTATGGGAATGAGGGAGAACTAGGCATATGAGTGGATAAGGGAAAAATTATGCGATAAATTGTATGGTGGTCTATATAACTGTGAGTGTGAATAATTGATTGATTGGCGGCTAGGCTGATGACGTGGATGAGGCGAATGTGTGAGGAGACCTTATGGTAAGGGTAGGCCTTATCTAGGTAGGCCTAAGGGAAAATGGGAAGAGAAATGTCTGCCAGGTCTAGAGCGTCGGATGTTTGAGGGGTCAACCCGATAGGGTCTTGAGGGAATGAACTGCTGAGTGGGGCCTTTCGCCCTATCGTCTCTTATAACAGGAAGTTTGAAGCTAGAGGCGGTTGATGAAAATGTCAGAGGAAATGGCAAACGGTGGGAGGAGGCTCGGTACACTCGACGACCTCATCGATGCCTTGGACAAGCGCGAGAGGGCGCCGAGCAATGTCCCAAATGTTGAGACATTCCATTTCAAGGGGGATCGGGTATCTGACTGGTTGGATCTGACAGAGCAGGCGCTGGTAGGACTGTCAGATGAGGTCAAGCTCCAACGGGTCCTAAGGTATGTCCTGCATAGTCACCATCGACAAGTGAGTAAGGTCGTGGACGCCGCCAATGGCAGTTGGACAAAGTTTGGGGACCTGATGCGGAGGAAGTATAGGCTGGGGGATGGAGGCCATGAATAAGGAAGACTTCTCTACCATTGGGGCGTTCGTGCACGAATTTAAGAAAAAGGCGAGGAAAGTGCACGGGATTTCGGAGGAGGCGCAGTGCGCCACATTTCTGGAATTGCTTACGGGCTCGGAGGCCGCAGAATTGACAAAGCACGGGGAAGGGAGTGAGAAGCTCACCTGGGCAACTATAGACAAAGGAGTGGAAGGAGGGAGCCTCGACCAGGTGGAGCAGCACCAGATGCGGCTGCAAAGGTGTAAGAGGAAGGAAAGGGATGCTACCGCATCGGGGACCCCAGGGGTGAAGAGGATTGTCTCCGACGTGCTGGCGGCATTGGGATATGACAACGAGGAGGAAATACAGAAAAGAGGGGTGACTGTGGCGCAAGGCCGGGCGTCAGGGGCAGTGGATGAGGAGGCTGGGCGCGAAGACAAAGGCGGAGAGGAGACGGGTTCCCAAGCCCTGACTAAGGCCCAGAGGAAGCAGCTCAACTTGCTGCTGGGAGGGCAGGGATCAGGGAAGGGGCAGGTTCCCCAAGCCATTGCCGCACCGCCGCCTGTCGCCGCAGCCGCGCCAACGCCAGCAGGATCATCGCACATGGGGCCGCCACCAGCTTGCGGACACTGGGTACCGCATTGTCAGTCCGCGCCCTGGCCCAGTTGCAACCATTGTGTCTCATGTGGAGGGAGTCAAGCCCACACGGGACACATGGTCCCCTACTCGGGCCCATCAGCAAGTATGGGCCCCCCGAGCTACCCAGCGACTCAAGGCCAGCCTGTGGCCCAACCGCTGCCCTCCCAACAGGCCTCGCAAGCTAGTGTGGCCGGGGGAGGGAGCCAAGGACAAGGCGGGCAAGGCAATGGGGGGCGGGGCCAAGGGGGTCGAGGAGCGGGTGGCCGGGGGCGAGGAGGGAACGGTGGGGGCCGTGGGGGAGGCTGGAATGGTCAAGGGGGTGAGAACCAAGGTGGCCAAGGCAGTCAGGAGGGGGGCCAAGGGTATGGGAGACCCCGCTTCGATTGACGGAATGCAACTTGTTGGCATTGTGGCGAGGTGGGCCACACCATATGATTCTGCCAACAGCGGCGGGATGACGAGCTAGCAATGCTGATCTCCTCTTGTATGGACGGGGACATATAAGATAGGTGGGGGAAGCACATTGATCCCAAGACCCCGGGAGGAATCAGGCAAGAGGCCCTCAAGCGGGCGGCGGCAGGGCCACCGACAGCCCCAACAATGTTCAGAATATGGCAAGAAAGGGAGGATCCGGGGGTGAGGGTCGAAGAGATTATGGACGAGAGTGAGGAGGTGACTCAGCGACTAAGGGCGGGGACTATACAGAAAGAACCTATAATCATTGAGTCAGACGATGAAGGGCTAGAGGTGGCAAGAGAGTCAGCCTCGACCATCCTGGAAAGGATGGAGGATCTGCTTGCGAAGGTTGGCAGGTACCAGGAAAGGTTGAGGATGATGTGCGAAAAGGTCCGGGAATGGGGGGCGAATCTCCCTGAAGTGATGCTCTATGGGTCCGGCCCGGGGTCGTCATTATGACCACAAGGATATCCAGGTGTGGCGACGGCCGGGGCAGGCCCTAGATCGGGAATGACCTTTAGACCCCCTACGTCGCATGGGAGGGTAGCGCAGGCTGCGCAAACTAGGAGCCAGAGTAAGGCTACTACGAGCCAGGGACCTAGTCCGACACCTAACTAAGCACCTCCTCGGAAGGAGCTTGAGCCTGAACGAAGGAAGGAAGTGATGGAAGTTCAGGAAGAGGAGGATGGGGGAGACGACGAAGAGGATGAGAGGCTCCGCCAGGAAGAGGACCGACGAGCCGAGCAGAGGGCCAAGAAGAGAGGAATTCAGGGAGAGGCGGAGCCGAGCCTGGGCGATGGCGCGCCAAAAAGGAAGAAGTACGCGGTCTGGATGGAGGAGGGTTTTGACGTGGAGCGAATGGTGGATAAGCATCTGGAGAGTCACAATGACTTGATGAATCTGAGAGACATCTTGGCGTCGGCACCAAGGCTCAGTGGTGAGCTGAAAGGGCGGCTTTCACGAAGGTTAGTGCCCAACGTCCACCTGAGCATGATTTTGCCTAGGGAGATAGAGTGGACAGAGGCGGGCACCAGGATGGACTGGAAATGTGTGGCGTGTGGGCTGGTGGATTTGAAAGTGAGGGACCAGCCAAGCATCGCAATGGTGGACACGGGCGCTGAGATGAACATTATCCGGGAGTGAGATGCGACCATGCTGGGGCTGGAGGTTGACCACTCAGATCATGGTGTGCTGCATGACGCCAACTGTAAGGCAATTTTCTGCGGCACCGCGTCTAATGTGATGGTGGAAATTGGGAGGGTAAGGGCACGAACGTGCTTCTTCGTCATGCCCGATGTCGATCACCCTATCCTTTTGGGGAGGTCGTTTCTCTGCCGAACGGAGACCTTGGTCTTCAACAGGCATGAGGGGACAATGATCCTGGCCCTATCTGATCCGGCCTGCGGGAACTACGAGATCATCAAGTGCCGGAACACGGGACCCAGAAGTGGGAGGAATAGGCTCAACCTCGGCTCCTTTACCTTCGAGGAGTCTGAGTACGCGCGGCGAAGACTCCGGGAGGAACAAGAGGAGGGAGGAGCGGGCGAGGTATTGTCCTTAAGCCTTAACGATGTGAATAAGGCGATGGAGGTGGTGGCGGCGCATGATATGGCGGACCCTGAGGCTATAAAGGCATTGAGGGAGCAGGTCCTGGAGAGCCCTCAGGTGGGAGAAGTGGAACTGATCTATCGGCTTCCAGGAAGGAAAGGGGACCCTGCGATGGCCCAGGCCCGAACGACAAGTCGACCTTTTTTAGGGCAGGGCTTAAGCAGGGCTACCAAAGGTGGTACAAGACTATAGATAAGAAGTGCCGCCCAGTCCCCGTGCTTATCACGGAAGATGAGGAAGCCCATTATGAGCGGGAGCGAGGGCTGATAAGACGTATGCGGGAGCATGCGCAGGCAGGGCCGTGCCGAATCAATGATGAGAATGAGGAGGGGTTGATAACTGGCGAATCTGGCTCCCTTTCGCCCCAGGAGAGGACCTTGATGGTGGAGACCATGAAGAGGAGGCATTGCGTGTATGCGTTTAATGACGACGAGCGTGGGAGTTTGGACGTGGATAAGATCCTAATGATACGAATCCATACCGTCCCACATGAGCCGTGGAATCTGAGGGGCGCGCGATATCCGAATCCGGATGAGGAGAAGAAGGTGGTGGACTACCTGGATGGAAAAATGTGGACGTACGTGGCAGACTACTCCAGTGGACCGTATGCCTCCCCTTGGTTTTGTTTTATCAAGCCAAATGGGACGTTACGGTGGGTGCAGGGTTTACAACGATTGAATGCAGTGACGGTGCGGGACGCGGGAGGATTGCCGAACGTGGACGCCCTGTCAGAGTCATGCGCAAGAAGGCCTATAATCTCGCTTATAGACCTTTATTCTGGTTTAGAAATTGCTACCGGGGTCCTGGATGTAATGTATAGAACCCTGGCGAGGGAGAGAAACAGGAAGGAGGCAGACTGTAAGAGAAGAGTCGAGGAGGCGGAAGTGCGCATGGAAGGACACCCCATTTCAGCAATGGTTTGGGCTGCAGAGAGAGAGAGAGAGAGAGAGAGAGAGAGAGAGAGAGAGAGAGAGAGAGAGAGAGAGAGAGAGAGAGAGAGACATAGAGAGAGAGAGAGACATATGACAGAGTGGGACAACCTACAGGCGGAGAAAGAGAAGCGGTGGATTGAGCTACTCAAGGTGAAGGGTATCGAAACNGAGAGAGAGAGAGAGAGAGAGAGAGAGAGAGAGAGAGAGAGAGAGAGAGAGAGAGAGAGAGAGAGAGAGAGAGAGAGAGAGAGAGAGAGACATATGACAGAGTGGGACAACCTACAGGCGGAGAAAGAGAAGCGGTGGATTGAGCTACTCAAGGTGAAGGGTATCGAAACCAATGACAAAATGTCAAAGGAGACTTTTCGAAAGCTCCAGCCGAGTAGAACGCACCATCAGATGATTGAGCTCAGACATTTGTTTGATGTTTCAGGCCCGTTGGCGTGTTCAACGTCAAACATGCTTCAATACACAATATTATACTATGCAGATATCCTCACCACCGCCTGCCCGCAGGACGACGTGAACTCAGACCTCTTCATTGACTCGGATATGTGGGACGACATTTCGGTCTTTCTCCATACCACAGCAAGACTGGACCTTGATAGGTCAATCACAGTGGAAGAAACAAGGCAAACTCTGAAGTATATGGCGAAGGGAAAGTCTCCAGGGGTGGATGGCCTCACAGTAGAATTCTACATGGCAAACTGGGAAACGCTAGGCCGTTCTTTAGTAGAAGTCTACAACGAGGTTCTGACCGACGCCCGTTTGGGTAAAGGCATGACGCACAACATTATTTCAGTTATGTTCAAGAAAGGAGATAAAGCGGAGGTAAGGAACTGGCAGCCCATCTCCCTGCTAAATGTATCATACAAGATCCTGGCAAAGACGCTGGCCCGGAGGATAGCCAGATACTTGCCAAGCTTAATTGAGAAAGACCAGGGTGCATTCGTGCAGGGCCGGTCAATATTCAATAATATTGTAACGGCCATTGAGACCCTGGAGATAGTGCAAAGGGAGGGGTTGGACATGGGAGTCCTTATCCCTTTACCTGGAGAAGACCTACGATAAGGTGGGTTGGGCCTTCACCCTCACCACATTGAGGAAGATGGGTTTCAGTCAGGGCTTCTGTGCGTGGGTAATCGCCATGTATACGCTGTCAACCTCGGCGGTCATAATAAACGGTCACATATCAGAAGCATTCCCACTTTCGAGGTCACTCAGGCAAGGCTGCCCACTGACGTCACTCATCTTTGTGCTGCAATTGGAGGTACTGTTGAACAAGATCCGAAGGCATCCCAACATCAGAGGTCTGCAGCTACATAATGGCGAAGAGTGTCGGGTGAAGGCTTTGGCAGACGATCTGTTTGCAGTAAGTTCCAACACCGATTCCTCTTTGAGGGCCCTCAAAGAAACTATCGGCGACTATGCAAGGTTATCGGAGGCGACTATGAACTGGAACAAATCCACATACCTCATGCCTATACAGTTCATGTTGAATGTTGAATGGGGCAAGAAACGAGTGGAGGCAGGAGAAGAGGAGCGCTTCCTGGGAGTTTTGGTCAGCTTACAGATCGAAATGTTCACCCAGGGTCTGCTACTACAGCAACGTGTGTCAGCGAGACTCAAATAATTGGGTATTGCTCACCATCTTTCTCTAATTGGGAGGGCACTGGTCACAAATGTAGCTCTATTTTCTATTTTATGGTTTGTATCCACGGTCAGGGAGTTAGCAGAGGGACTGGTGAAGGCAATTAGACGCTTAGCTTCCAGATTCGTATGGAATCCAAGAGCGGTAGCCAATGAGGGCTTCATCTTCAAGATAGCATTCGACACCCTGACCTTCCCCAGATCGGAAGGTGGCCTAGGCTTGATGGACCCTTCCCGTAGGAACAAAGCTCAACTCCGGTGTTGGATCGCCAGGGTCGCAACGCAGAATACACGTGAACAGTGGGTGGTGTTGGCTGAAAGGATCCTGATGGTGGAATGGGAACTTAGAAGACCCGAAGATGTGTGGGTGTGCTGGTTCATACCGTCATTCAGAAAGAGGAGACTGAAGTCAATCTTCAAGGAAGCTATTTGGAAAGAGTGGAAGAAAGCTCCGCTAGACGTGCGGACTGCTCCGTCGACCCAGGAAGAAGTTTTGTCTCAAGCACTGCTCGAAAACCCTTACGTTTTAGACCGATCAGGTGAACGTTTCGCTGTGAATTGTTCCATGGGGTCTTTCAGTCTAAATTGGATCAAACATGGGGTACGGGTCGCGGATATTTGGTCCTCGTTGGTAGGTAATTGGACACCTCTATCTGAGGTTAAGATTCCACTCAGAGGCCTGCACAGGGTGGAAAAGCAGTGAAACCAGTTAATTGAGGCCATCCCTCAACCCTGGCTGGACCTACTGGGCCCAGAGGGCCTGGATCCTTTAGGCACTTGGTACAGATCAGCACTGGAGGAAGAGGTGAACGTGATATGGGAAGTAACTCAACTTGAAATCACTGAAAGCGGCTTAAGAAAGGTTGAGAGGTGGAGATGCGAAGGTCCATGCAACACTCTATCATTCGTAGAGGAAGAAGTGATCCGCACATGGGACAACCCAGCACAGGTCAGGGTGGTGGAGGATCTGGGTAGACGACCGATATCACGGGTCCTCACCTGGGTAAGAAAAGTCCTCCTGAGAAAATTGTGCATTGATCCCATAGCTTGGGGATGTTCCGTCAATTGGGAGATAGGGTCAACTCTATACCTGAGAGAGTACTCAGTTTCCAGCGACTATCGCTTATTTGCAAGAAATATCAAATCGCTAGCGAAAATACCCATTCCACGATGGCAAGCAATCAACTCAGAAGACTTAACGAATTCAGAGCCGGACTTTGCAAGATTATGGGAGATCCTGGGCAGCCTACCGAATGGAAAACAGGTTAGTATTTTATGAATGTTGTCATTACTAGTTACTCCATCGACAATTTGGTGCTTCAGCAAGGGGGTGGAGGTATACGTGGGATGCTCGAGATGCCGGTGGCCTTTTGAATCTACCCATCATCTGTGGTGGGAATGCCCCGCCTCCAAACGGGTCTGGGACTGGTGGGCCTACCATTGGAGGGAACTTGGGGGCCAAGGGGTGTCGTGGGAAGAAAGATGGGTGCTACTGGGATTTCTCCCCCCAGGGGTCTCGGGGAAAAGAGGTTGGGGATACATTGCGCATGTGATGAGAGGAATAATATGCGAGGTCATTTGGATGGATAGGAACAGGTCGAGGTTTCAGGGGAGACGGCTCTCCGACCTGGAAACGAAGAAACACATCAAGAGGGGTTTTGAAGCTGGCAATCAGAGTAGACTAGAGGAGGAAAGCGAGGAGCGGCAAGGGCAACAGGAAACAAATCAGATGGTTCCTGCGCACCTGGGTGAAAAACCACAGGCTAGCGGCTGTGTGCAACAGGAAGGGGCCGGTACTATCCAACTGGGTCTTGGATAGCAGCAACTGCGTCGAGGGAAGAGGTTTGTGAGTAGTGCACAAATGGGTCAGGGGTCTCTAGGGGATCCCTCATTTAGTGAGCTCCGGAGTACCAGGTCAGTCGGTCTATTAGGGCGGCAGTGGGCCTCCAGGAGAGCGTTAGTACGACAGGGACGCAGTCCTCCGGGCCAATTTAGTCCCAGAATGAGTGTTCGTCCCAGATAGCTGAACAAGATAGATGTGATAATAGGGAGAGAAAGAGGTTATGTTACGTCACCAACCTGTGAACACATAGTGTTTTCATCTCCTGATTGTGAAATTACCTGAAAGGGAAGTGCAACTTAGATAGTCCGGTTTGTTTTAGTCAGAAAAGGCTCATTGCAGTACAAAATTGTTCAATAGGTTCTAAGGAGGTAATGCCTGCTTGGAGAAGGTAACTCGGAGCATTCATTCAGTACAGAGATGCACTAGCTAGGAAGGTTCTAGGGAACTGAGTAGGAGGTTTCTGGAAAGTTGATAAAAACGACTTTCTGCAGATGAAAACCTGTAAGCTAAGCTGGTTGATGGTGTCAGTATTTCCGGGTAGAATTGTGAGGTCCCCGGCCTCAACTTGGATGATTTACAAGGAAGTACGATTTGAAAAGAAAAAAAAAAATCCCACCATTTTGTACTGGTACCTTGTCGGGAGTTCCACGTGCGGGCTGGACGTCCCAACAGACAGGGAAACAGGAAACAGGTAACTACCGATTCCTTCCTCTCCCCTACCATTTCGAAGTGATGTTTTGCTTCGATTTTTGTGGCCTGCTGTCGAGTGCATCGGTGCGGCACGGCACGTGGCAGCGCGGGACCCTCTCGGCCGCGTCACGCAGGAGTTGGACCAACCTCGTCACGAACACATAAGTGGAGCTTCCATAGGCCGCTCCGGCCGAGTGCGCCAGCCATACCTCTGGCGAGCCCCTACGACAGGATAGGGCCTACGCGAGGCACAACTTACTCCACCTTACGGGAGCTATCACCTCCCTTCGGTGGGCGTATCCCCGCCGAGCTACCAGTCCACAATACGAAAGCTAATCAGTTGCAATCGCAGAGGTGGACCAGCCGAGGGCATTTCTCGTTCGCTGTAGCATAGGGGGTACGAGCGGTAATACGCCTGTCGGACCCGCACGCGAACTGGCATCTTGGGGGGCTGAAGTCCCAAGCGCGGCCCGTCGTCGGTCGACTAGGACGCATCCCACACACCACGCGCACGCCATTTTAACGAACACAAAACAAAACCCGCACACCCACGTACGCACACGAAACGACCCAACACAAACAACGCGACAACGCTCGTAGCCCCTCGGTAGTCATCCCATAACCTTCCAATGCGGAAATCGATTAGGCGTCGTGCGCGAAACTTAGCATAAAACCGCGCGGACGCACGGCTAACTCATATCGACTCGCAATGCAAGCGTACTCAAGCGGTCGCAATGATGGCGTACTATGTGGTACCCACACTCGCACGGCCCTCGTTAATCTCGAGGGTCGCGTTCGACGCTCAAGTATCGGCTAACGCGCGCCTTGAGGGTTAATCTCTCAACGCCAAACAACCGCCATGCGCGGTTGAAGACCACATACCCTCCTCTGCACCTTATGCAAAGCGGGTGGTACACAGGTCCGTACCTGTGGTGGTAGTCGTCTCCCGCAGCCCTAGGGGTAAATCCTCCCCGGACCTAGGCGAAAGTCAAGGGGTTTGACTTTGACGGCTGCCACGAACTACAACGTGCAACCATAAAAATCTCTAAAAAGCAAGGGGTAAGGAATAGGTCGACGGTTCCTCCGCTAAATAACGAAAGTCATGACCTTGGGGGTGCCCTCCCCTCTTCGTGCGGCACCCGCGGCCCATAACAATCCTTACGCATTCGCGCACACGTGTGAATCCCTTTGATCCCATAACCTTTAGGCACCAGGGCAGAACGGCGTTGCGCGCGGGATTCTAGCATAAAACCGCGCAGCCGCGAGTCAATCCTATACCAACCACCAATCCCAATCGTACGTGGTAAGCGCGGCTCCGGCCTGAGCGTTATTGAATGACTGAAGGAATATATCGAGAGGGGTCACCCCTCACGATATTGAATGGCTGAAGGACGCGCCGTTCGGCCCTCGCGACATCTCCGCCTCTGAGGTTGGGTGTCTCGACGGGCAGGGTGAATAGGCCCTGCGCGAGGGGAAGCCTTTCTCCTGCAGAGTCCGGGGCTTGGAGTGCCCTGGACAAGGACCTTGAGTCCTGGCCTAGGACTAACGTCCGACTAAGAAAACCCCCAAGAAGCAAACACGAAAAAGGATGGGTCTCCCATATGCTTTTCAGCCTTAACCTTTGAGTAGTTTTTTTTGGCGCGGGGCCCTTTGGACCTCGCGAGCACCCACCTTAGATACACCCAAACATACCCACATAAGGGAGATAGAGTTGCGACGATCACTTCTCACAGGCACAGTGGGATTCCTCACAACCACGTATATGTATATGGGATCGCAGGCAATCCAAATCCAAAATCCGAGCTACAGGACATACCTGCAATCACATCAAGAATCGAACGACAAAACATGCACTACACGGAGTCAACCCCAACCATCCTCTATGCTCATACCCCTTCGCTTTAGCCATGCAAGCCCCAATCGCTGACCCAACCAACCTCAATTAAATACTTAGTACCTTTGTTAAATGGCCATTCAATAAAAGTCCTGGTGAAACTCTTAACAAACAGCAAA